TAGAGCCAAATACACAAGATCCACTGCTCAGACAAGTCTGTAGCTTCTTTTTTTTTTTTTTTTTTTTTGTACCAGGAATTGAACTCATGACCTCATGCTTGCCAGGCAGGCACTTATGCCGCTGAGCTAAATCCCCAGCGAGTTGTTTCATCCTGTTCATGTTTGGGGAAACATTTGAGAAAAAATGCTTTCAATTTGCTAAATGTTTGTTGGAATCCACTAGTAAAGCCCCCTGGTCCTGGGCTTCTCATTATGGGCAGGTTTTTCTTCACTGACTCAGTCGCCTTCATATTCACAGGTATGTTCAGACTTTCTCTTTCTTCAATGTTCAGTCTTCACAGGTTGGATATTTCTAGGAATTTATCCATTTATTATACCTTATCCAATTTGTTGGCATATAATTGTTCCTTATAGTCTCGTTCTTTTTTATTACTTGGTATCATTTGCAATGTCTTCTCTTTCACTTATGATTTTGCATCTTCTCTCCTAAGTTTAGCTGATAGTTTGCTAATTTTGTTTACCTTTAAAAAACAAACTCAGTTTAAAAAAAAAAAAATTCCCTATTTTGTTTGTTCCTGGTCTAATTTTTATTGCTCTCCTGACAACTTTGAACTTCTTGTTCTTTTTCTAGTTCTATGAGGTGTGAAGATAGGCTGTTTACACCTTTATTCTTTTTTGATAAAGGTTTTTACTGCTATAAACGTCCTCTTGCTGGTTTTTATGCATTCCATACATTTTGGGGTATTGTCTAATTTCCCTTTATTGCTTGACTCACTGGCTGTTTAAAAAGTGCATGTTAAATTTCCACAAACTTATGAATTATAGTTTTCTTTTGCTATTAATTTTATTTCTACTCCTTTGTAGCTGGAAAAGACAGGCAGTTGATTTCAATGTATTTTCCCCTTTCTCCTAGTCTCACCAGCATTTGTTATTTTTGTCTTTATGACAATGGTCACTCTAATGGGATGAGATATTTCTTGTAGTTATGATTTGCATTTCCCTGATGATTATCCACGTTCAGTATTTTCTATACGCTTGCTGGCCATCTGTATATCTCCTTTTAAGAAATGTCTATTTATGAGCAAAGCATGGTGGCACACACCTGTAAGTCCAGCACTCCAGGAGGATGAAATAGAAGGGTTGCAAATTTTAGAGTACAGCCTACAAGACTTGGTGAGACCTTGTCTCAAAAAAATGTTTTTTGTTTTTTGACTTAACAATCTGGCTTGGAGAATGTTCCATGTACCCTTGAGAAAAATGGGTATTCTGTTCCTGTTAGGTAGACTCTTCTACATGTGTCCATTTGGGCTACAGCTATGTTTATATGGTCTACATAGTTCAACTTTGCTGTTTCTTTGTTAATTTTTGTACTGTTCTATTTCATTATTGAAAGCAGATTGCCAAAGTCTCTATTATAATATTATTATCCATTTCTCTCCTTAGTTCTTTTTATACATATTTAGGTGCTCCACTGCACACACATTTAGGTGCTCTGATGTGCATGTACTTAGATGGGCAGGTGAAAGTGCACATATACTTGCAATTATTATATCTTCTTGACGGACTGACTCCTTTATCACTTCATAATGATCTGATTTGTCTCTTCATATTTTTAAAAGTCTGGTTCTCATCTGTTGTAAATATACCCATTCCCGATCTCTTTTGGTTACCATTTTCTGTCTTTGTTCATTCATTAATTTTTAGCCTGCATGTGTCCATAAATCTTTAGTCTCTTGCACAAAATATACACTGGGATCTTGTTTTTTTATATTCATTAAGCTATTCTATGTCTGATTAGTGAAGAGAGTTTAATGCATTCACATGTAAAGCATGATAAGACCTTACTACTACCATTTGTTTTCTTTTTCTGGCTTTTATTCATACATGTCTGCAGTATATAATGACTACATTCAGTATGGGGGATTGGTACATGTACATAACACATTTCAATTTCCTTTTCTCCCGCTTCTCCCTGATTATATGGAGCTATGTAAGGGGGAGGGTGAATGGCAAGAAGCTGTTTTGAATATTGTTACTTCTGGCTAAAATGTGGCTGGTGTTATATTGGCCCAAGACGCAAGAGCCTCTCAAAACGTTTCGGAAATTCTCAGAAGGGAATTGTTTTGTGCACTGTTACTGGTGTGTCTACAGAGGACAAGAAGGATACAGGGCTTCTCATTTTGCCATCTTAATTACGTCCCCTAACTCAGCTCATTTTTCCAAGCTGTCATATCTCATATGTAAAATGAGTAATATTACCTTATTTTATAGACATGATACAATTATATATAAGATGTAAATGGCAATCTTGTTAAATAGTTGAGATCTCAGGTCAAACTGACCAGCTCAGATTTAACTCCTATGAATTAGTGACTTGTGGCCTCTGATTGGTTGATTATTTAATGTTTGATCTTGAGCTTCTTATCCATACATAGTAATAGTTCTTTCAATTGACTGTTGTGAGGACTGACATATAATCCAGGTAAAGCACCTGGAACACGTGATCAACAAATATTAGTTGGAACACAGGAGACTATAGGAGCCAAAAGGAAGTAGTCACTAGACGATCCAGTGGTCTCAAGCTGTTTGGATCGGTGGGGAGGCGGGAGGCAACTATGAGTTACTGAGAGAGAGCACTGAAGAGGTGATATTGAAAAGGAAGTCAGTGGTCACCTTAGACCTAAAACTTGAGAGTTTCAGGTGAAAAGTAGACTAACGACGCAATAGCTCTGCTAGGCTAGTCAATGCCCTAAGGTTCAGTCATGAATGTACTTAAAAGCCTGATGCAACAAGGGAAGTAGAAATAAAGAGGAAACATTACTAAGTTGTGGTAAAAGTCTTACAACTAATCATTATTCCATACCTGAAAAATTGAAGATTTTAAAGATAGATATATTATAACGCATTTTAAAGTACAGTAGTGCACCCTATCTTGCATTTGAAAGTACTCTCTTGAAGACGGGTATTTTAAAGGTCTGCATGTATTTTTCCTTAATTAAATCTCTTACTGATAATTAGGATAATTTCTTGAATTTAATGTTAATTTCTTCCTTTCCCCAACTACACTTTCTATTTTACTCTCTCCTCCTCCTCCTCCTCTCTCTCCTCCACACAGAAGAGCTCACAATGTTCTGCAGCTCACAATGTTGAACAAAAAATAAAGGAGCAAACAAGCATTAAACCTTTTCTGAAAAATCCTTAATAAAGCCTAAACTTTTTCCTTGGAACTATTACAAAATAAATGCTACATACCAAATCCATGATGAAAACATATATTTACTTCCTAACAAAAATGAAATTCACCTGCAGCAAATTACTAATTTTTGTGCTGTAACCCCTTGATTCCTATTGTCTTAATGATAAACATGAAAACATTAATTTCTTACACAACGTTATAGTCTCTTCAGGTTTCTTTTCATCTTGGTTATTATTTAGGCTTTCTGGTATCTTGTTTATATCAGTTTCCTAGAATAAAAAAAAAAAAGAAAATATATTGGGGAAAACATTTAAAGAGTAATAAACTTTCCTCTGCCTTAAAATCTTCTTTTTAATATAATATGCTTTTTCCTCTAAATTCACAGAAGACAAGGGAGCCGAGTTTGTAAGAAAAGCAATCCAAAGGGCACAATTTTAAAGAAAAATTGATATTCCAGACAGCAGGTATCCAAGAATGGATTGAGGGAGTGCTGCTTATAAGGGGTGAAGTTAGGTTTTTTTTGTTTTTTTTTTTTTTGCAGCAGGTAAACAAAATGCTCTAAAATTGATTTTGATGATGGATACACAACTGATATAGTAAAGACCACAGAATTGAATGCTTTAAGTAAAATCCATTAACTAAACCTTACAAATTATCAATGAATAATGACAACTATCAAAATAGGAAAATGTATAAACCATGAGTAACATTTTACATATCAAGAAAAAATAAGCAATATCTGATCACTGCTTTTAATGATTATAGTATCTTTCTTAAAAGTATTAAAAGCTATATGTGGGAGAATGTCTTATGTCAATTACCTTGGAATTTTTAGGTTCTAATTCTGGGTTAAGTAGGCTTTCTAAATAATCAGCTTTTTCTTTCCATGTATTCAAATTTTTATACTCCTTTTTCATTTTTTCCAACCTAAAGAAAGCAATCAGTTGTAGATGAAAAATCAAGTGACAGAAGAACATATATGGTATGATTCATAGAACACAGTGTGATCTACTTATTAAAAGTTCTAAAAGGGATATAGTTAAAGGAAAGGTAGTGATTAGAACAAAAATAATGATACTTGTTCCCAGGGCTTACTTAGAGAGAGGGGTGTAGTCTCATAAGGACACACAAAGTGGACATTCCCAATCACCAGAGCTCCTGGAACAATTACAGCACCACTTCCCACCCCGCCTACCTGACAGAGAACCCGGATTCCGTTTCACAACAAAGTATTAGCCGTTGCTATGGCAGCCACTGCTATGTTGCCACTTCTACTCAGTTATTCTCACTCCCTCAATCTTTCCCTCCTCTGTGCCGCACCCAGCTAAGCCCCGCCCACTAACCCTCCATAAAAACCCAGCACAATAAACTTCACTCAGACTCTCCTTTGGAATTTCTCTAGCAGGTCTCACCTGCAACCCCTAAATTCAGGTTGGCTGTTTGTCTAACATATTCAATAGATAGTGTTCTTAGTATTTTTAATTGTATGTCGTGGCTGTTATAACAGAGTATCATTGGTGATTTGGCGGCTTTAACAACAGACATCTATTTCTCACAGTTTCTTCCCATCTCGTGGATGGGAAGTCCAACGTCAAGGTCTCAGCAAATGCAGCCAGGTGAAGGCACTCGACCTGGTTTCAGATGACACATCTTCTTGTGTCCCCACATAAGAGAGGGATGGGTCTCATGTCCCCTCATTTCATAAGGGCATTAGTACCATTCACAGGTACTATTCACATCCCTACCAGCTACCCTCAAATCTAATCTAGCACTGCTTGTCTCCCAAAGGTCCCGCCTCCAAAAACCATTAAAGTGGAGGGCAAACAGCGAGGTTTGAAGGTAAGAGGAAGATCTAGGGACGGAGGGAGAGTGGAGGGGAAAGAGAAGTAAAAAGGACTAAGATGTGATATGTACGTATAATACCAACTCCCCAGGATGAATGTATTCATCGTGTATCACAAACACGTACTACTAAAACATAACTTTTAAAAAGTAGAGGGGCCAGGGATATAGCTCAGAGGCACAGGGTCTTTCTTGGCAAATACAAGGTCCTGAGTTCAATTTCCAATATCAAAAAAAGAAGTGGAGAGCAAAAACAATCACTCCATTACTATATACCTAGGTAGCTATTGCTTAGCGCGTCATGTGTGAAAACCTGGGTTCCATTCTAACACTTAAAAAAAGGTTTAAAAAGGAATTTAGCTTCTAACCCAAGAAACTTCAAAAGTCTTGTGTAACCTAGTGAATAATTCATAAGAATTAAAGGGACAGGAGAATGTTTCCCAATTAATTTCATGAGGATACCACGGCCTTGACAATAAAACCTGATAAGGACATTACCAAAAAAAAAAAAAATCAAAATTATCACCTAATCTCTTTTGTGAAACCCATGCAAACACTGAAAAAATGCATTTTTAATACAAAAAAAGTCAGTAATGTAAAATCAAGGTAATATATTAGGAAAAAGCTGGCTCATCTCAGGGATACAAAGATATTTGGACACTAAAGCAAAATATAATTTGTTAAAAGAAAAAAACATGACAAAAATCCAACATCCGTTCATGATTTTAAGAAAACCTCTTTAAAAACTAGGAGCAGAATGAAATAATATCATTAACCAAATATAACATATCCATATACACAAAAAAGACACGTAATAATGTCCTTAATTGTTAAATAGTAGGAGCATTGCTTTTAAAGATCATGAACAAAGCAAAGAGTTCTACTAGGGCCATTATTACCAATATTGGAGATTCTAGCTAACATACTAAGAAAACAAAAGAGAATAAGGTTTGGGAATGAAATGAACTTGCTATTTACAGAGGGAAAATTGTCTAAATAAATCATCCCTAAATATATACAAATTGCTGAGAACTTCTTTTAACTATGAAAATTTAGCAAAAGTATTAAGAGGGAAATTCTGAAAAGACAGTGCCAGTGAGAGCAGCCTAGATTTTTCACCTTCTCAAATCCCTTCATAACGTCATACGGAGTGTCTGGTACCCACCTCAAAAGCCAAGAACAACATTTACAACAAACCATGCAGCAAAGTATCCTGGGTCTCACACACAAGAACCTCACGGCAGCAGGGTATATGCGGGGAGAAGCAGTGGTTTAGAAGGGCTGAGAACAAGCAAACCCAAAGGTAACCAAAGGCGGCCCTGGAGCGCAGAGGGCCAATTTCAGACTATCAGTTGAAAACGGAAGGGGTTTGCTCACTCCAACAGCAGTCAAGTGCAAAGAATTCACAGTAAGACCCTAAAGAGATGTAGATAATGCTCTCGATTGTTAAATATTAGGATCATGGCTAACCACCGGGAATGCTTAAAACAGACCAAGCTAGACTCTACTTCACAACAGGTTCCCAGGAAGTCATAGAAGTCAGTTATATTTTTAACAACATGAAAACATCAGAGAAATGGAAGAGTCATAAAGCTAGAAAAACTTTCTAAACCAGTCTCTTACAAAAAAATTCACGAAAATAAATTTCACTTGAAATTAAAGAACAAAGAGGCTGAGGCAGGAGGATCGTTGAAAGTTCAAGACCAACCTGGGCTACAAAGTGAGCTCAACGTCAGTCTAAACTGCATAGTGAGACCCAGTCTCAAAAAAAAGAAAAATTAAACAACGAAGAACCATCAAGGTCAAATTCCAAAAAAAAAAATTATTTTGAATAATGTCAAGGGCTGGGGAGATAGCTCAGTAGCACAAGTGCTTGCCTGCCAAGCACAAGGTCCTGAGTACGATTCCCAGTACCAAAACAAAACAAAAATAACAACAAGAATAATATTTCCAGATGTAGAAGCACAGAAGACATACACATGTAAAAGAGAAAAGGGGGAGAGAAAGGATAGACAGAGACAAGGAAAGACCCAAACTGTAGCTTTCACTTCGAAATGGCTATAAAACATTAACAAAATGGTACAAGACATAAAAATATAAATCAGATTTACAAAAATTCAAAAAACAATTATAAATAAAAGAAAAATTGCTAGGTGTGGTGCTCACACCTGTAATCCCAGCACTCAGGAGCTGAGGCAGGAGGATCATCGTGAGTTCGAGACCAGCCTGGGTTACAAAGTGAGCTCAAGGCCAGCCTGAACTGCATAGCGAGACTGGATCTCAAAAAAACCAAAAAAAAAAAAAAAAAAAAGGAAAGAAAGAAAAGAAACATTATTTTAGGGCTAGTGGTCGGATGGGCTTTTGGCATAATTTTAAAAATTAAAAAAATTATTAATATATGTTTGTAGTACATGAAATATACACTCACTTCTGGGAGTAGGTACGTGTACGTAACTCAGCTTCTTTTTTTAGGTTTTTGTTTGTTTGTTTGTTTGTTTCTGGTACCAGGAATCGAACTCAAGATGTTGCGCTTGCCAGGCAGGCGCTGTGCCACTGAGCTAAATCTCCAGCCTCAGCTTTTTTTTTTAAATCCCTTTCCCATGCACCTCCCTTCCTCCATCTCTAAAAAGTCCCTTTGCCCCATTTCAATTCTTGGTACTATTTTTAGCTCATGTTTTAACCTATAGTGTTCACATTCACTGTACTTGGTGCCAATACACTGCACATCTTAAGTCTTCATACTGTGACTCCCCCTCCCCTTGCCCTCAGACCCCCGGAACCAAGAGATCTATCCCCTTGTTTCTTTCACTCCAGCCTTTATTTTGCTCTTTGCTTGCACTCTGCCTCACTCAAATCAGAGATACCAGGCTGCTTCCAGGTTTAGCTATTAGGAATCGTGCTGCTATAAACATCGCGATGCATGTATCACTATAACAGAACATCTTTACCTCTTAAGGGAAGATTCCTAGGAGGGAACTAGCTGAGTCATGCGCAATTTCTAATTTAAGTTCTTCGCATAACCTCCATACTGAGGTCCACGGTGGCTGCAGTAGTTCACATTCCCTCCAACAGTGGAGAAGGGTTCCATTTTCGCTGCAGCCTCGCCAGCATTTGTTATTCTACTTTTGATGACTGGTATTCTTTCTGGTGTAAGATGAAATCTTAGTGCTCTTTTAATGTGGATTTCTCTAATGGTCAGATATTTTGAACATTTTTTCCTGTGTGTTGGCCATATGTACTTCTTAACCTAGACGACTATTTTAAGTGTGCTCAATACATAATAACTCACCAGGCTACAAAGCAGTTTAGTGTGTTTTGCTGAATCTGTATTCTATTTTTATACATTTTTTTCAAATATACACATTTTTAATATGTGAAATATTTACATAATGGAACCATACCATGGTTCAGTGTTTTACATTTTATTTATTTATTCATTTTGGAGTACTAGGGATTGAATCTAGGGCCTTTGGACTGACTTACATTCCCAGCCCTGTTTTTACTTTTTTAAAAGACAAAGTCTTGCTAAATCACTAAGTTGCCCAAAATGGGCTTGGACTTGAGATCCTCCTGCCTCGGCTTCCCAGAGTGCTGGTACTGCAGGTGTGTGCACTGTGCTAGGTCTTATTGTACAGTTTTTGAAAAGGTAAAAGACATTTAGGGAAAAATTATTAACCTCTATTCAAAGAGATTTATAACAATTTAGAGAAATGGAAGTATGAAGGGAAAAGGGAGAGGGAGAGAGGCATTGGAGAAATCACGTTTCCAGGCAGATTCAATATGTTAAAGACGTAAACTCTTCCTAAAAAGGAAGCCCTATAGTGATTGTAAACTAACAGGAACGCTTATGTTCTGCTGGTGGCAATTTGAGTTGGTAAGGACCTTTTTGGAAAATAACATGGATGGGGCCAGGGATATAGCTCAGTGGTGTAAGTGCCTGCCTGGCGAGCACAAAGTCCTGAGTTCAATTTCCGGTACCATAAAAAAAAAAAAAAAAAATAGAGAGATTAGGAAAAATAACATGGGACTGCTTTATAAAGTTGAAAGTCTGCATATCTGAAATTCAGCAAATCCACTTCTAGAGAAAAATCTCACTCACATGCACCATAAAAATGTACAAGAATGTCCAAGGCAGCATTGGTCACAGTAACAAAACACTAGAAATAATCCTAATAGGATGGGCCCAACTCCAAAATGGCTGACAAGATTCCCAGCCTGGTGGATGTTCCCAGCATAATCCCCTTCTCACTGGTGTGAGCTTAAATGGGCCATAAAGGGTTTTATGCCTTTGATTAGGTTACATTGTAAAGGCAATTTTAAAACTTGTAACTAGACAATGGATTCAAGGACAGAGCAAAACAGACCAGCCAGTTGCCAAAATTAAAAAATAACAAACTCGACCAGCCTTGGCATTCCAACACCAGCTGTAGCTTGTAAGAGTGTAACGCAGCCGGATGGTGCATCTTGTTAGCTTGTTTTAAAGACCTATCACCTAAAGACAGACCCAGCTCAATCTTAGACAACTACTGATTGTCCCGGCTCACCTCAGCCTTGACCTCCGTCATACCACAGTAACCCCCAATTAACTTGCTTAGAATTAGTCTGCCTAGTAACATATGACGAACAATATGTAACCAATTGTAAAATATCCTGTTACCTGTCTTTTGCACTTCCTTCTAACAACTTATGTAAGTGACTGTTTAGCCCCAAGAGGGGGCTGGGATTTGAAAACTGCATTTTCCCCCAGCCTGCCAGCATAAATAAACCTGTTTGCCTTCCAAAATTCCTCGGTGCTGCGTGTCCTCTGATATGGTCTGATATAGCCCCAAAATATCACTTGAAAAAAGATGATGGAATTTTGCAGATATAATTAAGATTCGAAATCCGCTGACTTAGGAGTTAACAGTATCCAAATGTTTCGAGGTTTTGGGGTGGGCCAGAGGGAACCTGGGTGTCAGGCCCAGGATCCATGTCAGACAAAAAGCTATGATTGCCCAATGTCTGACCAGGCTGATTACGTGACAAGATGTTTTCAAAGTCACTTACTAACGGTTTGGACCAGATTATCTGTCATGTGCTGTGAAGGGAGGATGCTACTCTGTGCACTGAAGTTTAAAATGGGTGCAGATTTCTCAATACCTTGACCTTAGGGCTGTTGTGAGGTAACAAAACATGAGGGACTGTCTGTGTTACTAAACTTCCGTTGAAAACACTGTCAGTAAGAATGCCACAGGGTGCGTGCACATTTTCGGAAACACCTCCACACATTCCAGCTTGGTCCCTTTATATTCGGTCATCTGTGGGACATGGTATCCTGCTGGCCTGCGTTTCCCAACTGGCTGGAAATAAGTGTCTACGAACACATCCAACTAGCAGCTATAGACGATGTTACTTCAGAGCCAGGCAGAAGCATTTGCATGTGAACATGAACAGGAAGAATCAAATGACTGCTCGAAGAACAAGACGACATGGAAGAGAGTCAGGGCCAACCACTGTGCGGAAGGTATAAAGTTCTGTGAGGCACAGGGCAGATCCGTCTCTATGCTGAATGAGTAAATGCTGTTGCTTGGACACGAGTTCCCCAGCTCTTACAAAGGATCAGACGAACTTTTACCCAAATTCACCTGGACATCTGTATTAAATGGCTCAGCAACAGGACTTACAGTTTTTGAACGAGGTGAGCTTTCCTGAAGACAGCAATCCTAAATCTAGGCTGAGGATCAGGGTTCCTAGAGACGAGGCACTAGGGGCACCATGCCTGGGACTCCTAACCAACTCCTAACGCCACAGCTTAGACAGAAGAGTTGGCTGTAGGCACGAGGGCAGGCCCAGGAGAAAACTGCATGAGCAGAAGTGTAGCCAGAGCCATCTTGGGCTGCTGATGTCTGATGGTATATTGAAAGGAACAGTTCATGTTTAAAATTTCTTATATTTTGACCAATTTTGCATGCTTATATCTGGTAATCTGAGCAACTGATCTGAAGACAATAATACGCAATGGAACAACCACTGGTGAATTCCTACCATCTTGTCTAGTAAACTATCTAATATTTTACTTAATAATTTTTTAATTCTCTTTAATGGTTTGAACAATTTTCCATTCTTACATCTGGTAGTCTGAGCAACATGGTTGAAGATAGCAGTATGTAATATAACAACCACTGTTAATTCCTATCATTTTGTTTTGAAACCCTGTATCACTTTTAATGTTCTTGCTTTGTTTTGTTTATGTCTGTGATGTTGGTATGCCCCTACTGTTCTTTTTTTTTTTTAACTACTGTCTTTAAAACAAAAATTTAAAAAGAAGATGCAGCCAAGAGCCTCAGGTTAGCTTGACGGATTTTCAAATACAATGTCTGGCATCTAATAAAAACAACTATGCACACAAGAATGTAAGATATGATTAAAAATCCAGTGAAAAACCAATAGTGTGAACAGAATTATAAAAGAGCCAAATGATGTGGTTATCAAATTCAGACTTTAAAATAGCAATGATTCCTATGAATGGAATCTTTGTGTCCCCAAAAATTCACATGTTGATGCCCTAATCTCTTCTTAATGATATTTGTAGGTAGGACTTTTGGGAGGTAATTGGGTCATGAAGGTAGATCCTTTATTAATAGGATGAGTGCTCACTGTCTTGGTTACTTTTCTCTCGTTGCTGAGACAAAATACCTGATGCCCAAAGTTAAGGAAGGAAAAGTTTATTTAGCTCACAGTTTGTGGAGGTTTCAGTCCATACTTGGCTGGCTCCAAGGCAGAGTGGCACATGGCAGAGGGCAGCTATTCATGGCGGCAGAAAACGGCAACAGCAACAAGAGCAAAAAGGAGGAGCAATGACAAGCAGCCTCTTTCCCTCCCTTACATTGTATGCAAATGCCACAGGGAGGGTGTAGCACTCACACCCATATCCTAGCGCTGGACCGTGGATCAACCATAAACTCTAGAAGCTGCCCCATGACTGCATGAGGATTTGGGGACATGCAGACACAGACCGAACACTCATATGGAAAGAGACACAAGATCTCTCTCCTCTCTGTCTGTCTCTGTCTCTCTCCCTTTCTCTCTCTCTGTCTCTCTCTCTCTATCCTATGAAGATACAGCAAGAAGGTCACTATTTGCAGATCAGGAAGAGGGCCTCAGCATGAACCAAATCCGTCAGCATCTTGAGTTTGGACTTAGCTTCCAGAACTGTGAGAAATAAATTTATAAATTTATATAGTTTAGTTTGTGGTATTTTGTTTTACTTGTTTGACAGGCTGAGCTGCCTCAGTGGTTAATATGTTCAAGAAACAGAGAATAAAGCTGGGGATTTGGGGCAGAGAAGTAAAAAGCTATACAAATAAATAGAAATTCCATGAGAGAGAACATAATTTGTTTAACAGTTGATTAGAAACTAGGACAAATAAAGTAAAATATTAGGTCTCTAGACTGAGGCACAGAAAATACTGACAAGGATGTGAAAGGCAGGAAAATCGTAAGAGAATATGAAATGCACTGGGGTGAAGAGAACAAGTATTATGCTTTTCCCTTATAAACAGGGCTTCGCTGGGTGTGGTGGCGCACGCCTGTAATCCCAGCACTCGGGAGGCTGAGGCAGGAGAATAGTTGCGAGTTCAAGGCCAACCTGGGCTATAAAGGGAGCTCAAGGCCAGCCTGAACTGCATAGGGAGACCTTGTCTCAAAAAGACAATAAATTAATTAATTAATTAATTAAATTAATTAATTAATTTAAAATGGGGCTTTACCTCTTTTCTTGCTGTAACACTAATCTTTTCAGACAAAACACCTGAATTTGATGAGAAGTAATTTATGAACCCTTGAAATAGCACCATAGTGAATGTTGCTGGACCAAAAGCAAGCCTGTGACTCAAAGGACGAGATTAACCTGTGATAGAGATAACACATAAATAAATGAAAACTTCTGTGCTACTTACCTTTCCCGGGGTTTTTCAAGTTGCTGGGTGGGGGGCTGCCCTTCAGCTGAATTCCCAACAGTGTCAGGCTGTGGTGTAACACCATTTCTGCAAAATCATAGTGAGTGTTGATATTATTATACACAAGTGCTCTTTTAAAATCTGGTAGGTAGCCATCACCTTAAATCCTTCTTTCTCATTTTAGCTCACCTATCCACCTTAGGTCCTCAGAAGCCAGAACTGAGAAAGATTATGGAGTGAGAATCCTGAGAGAAGTTCATGATTATTCTAGCTACTAAGATCATGGGCAGCAGGGAGGGAAAAGGAGAGGACCCAAAGGAAAGAGAATAAAAAGTATCTGAACCCAGCTGGGAGTGGTGGCATATGCCTGAAATCCCAGCACTTGGGAGGCTGAGGCAGGAGGATCGCTGCAAGTTTGAGGCTAACCTGGGCTACACAGTGAGTTTAAAACCACCCTGAATTGTAGAGCAGGACCTTGACTCAAAAAAACAAACAGGCAAGCAACAACAAAAATGTATGTGAACCCAGACCTCTCACAATCTTTATAGCCGATGTCTGTTTCCCAGGTCCCTCAATTTTTTAAATGTATTAGTTCTATGGAGTACACTGTGTACCAGGAACTGTGTTCACACGCCTATGTGTATCATCTCATTCGGTTTCCACAGCAAATCTATGAGATGAGAATTATGAGCTCCTACTTCACACATTAGAAAAATACAATTAAAAGGATTGAACAACCTCACCCAAGAATTTCTAGGTGAGAAGTGGCAAAACTAACATTTACATATAAAGCTCATGTTCCTGAACACGAGTCTGTACTGTGCACAGTGGTAAGCACCTTAAACTGGTCTAAAATACAACTTGCCTAAAATACAACTTGCATTTTCCCCTTCTCTAAATATGTTTTTTCACCAGTACTTCCTGGTTCAGGAAATAACAGCAGCAAATACATGTGAACAATCTCTCTTTCTCTAGTCTGTTCCATTTCCAACTAGTCACTTTCTAATTGCATTTTCAAATGTCCCAAATATTTCACAGTTTTGCTTCTCTGTTCTGTTGTATAAGTCAGAGTTGTCAGGTGTGTGCATACCCAAGGAAATAGGTTTACTGTAAAGAACTGGCTCGTGTAGTTATGGAAATTGACAAGTCCCAAGATCCACAGGGTGAGCTGGCAAGGCAAAGACTCAGGAAGGCCAATGGCGGAATCCAATTCAAATGCTTTAGAACCAGGACAGCCAATAGCATAGCTGCAGTCCAATGATAGGCAGGCTCAAGACCAGGAAGAGCTAGCTGATGCTTGAGTAAAAGGCCAAAGGAAAGAAAGAAAAAAACAAATAAGCTGATGCTGCAGGTCAAAGGTAGTCAGCCAGGAAGAATTCTTTCTTACGAAAGCTTTAGTCTTTTTGTTGTATTCAACTGCTTTAACAAGGCCCATCTCCGTTAGGGAGGGCAATCTGCTTTACTCAGAGAATTGATTTAAATGTTAATCTCATCCAAAAATTTGGCTGGTGCTGGGTGCAGTGGCACATGCCTGTAATCCCAGCACTCAGGAGGATGAGGCAGGAGGATCTTTGCAAGTTCCAGACCAGCCTGGGGTACAAAGTGAGCTCAAGGACAACCTGAACTGCATAGCAAGACCTTGTCTCAGAAAGACCAAAAGTTTGGCTGGGGATATAGCTCAGCGGCACAGTGCCTGCCTGACAAGTGTAAGGTCCTGAGTTCGATTCCTGGTACCAAGAAAAAGTTATGCTATATTTTATCCAAAACTTCTCTCAGAATGAGTAGTGGGGATTGAATCCAGGGTTTCTCACACGCTTGGTAAGTGATGTATCACCAAACTGCATCACCAACCCTTTTCATTTTTTATTTTGAGACAGGGTCTTGCTAAGTCACCAGGCTGGCCTTGAACTTGTAATCCTCCTGCCTCAGCCACCACAGTAGGTAGAATTCTAACTGAGAAGGCAAAAATGGATCTTTTAAAGTAAGTTTTTTTCCTTTTAGAAACAAGCTGCTTTCCCAAACTTCTTCATACTAAGGGCATAAACTGTCACACACACACACTCCCCTGTATGTCTTAGGTTAATGGACAGAATATGAAGATGATGCCCCGAGGTCCAGTGTCTTTAATGCAAGCAGAGGAGCCAAGAAAGAAAAAGCAAGAATGGCCAGGGAAGAAACTGTGTGGGAATGTCACTGTCTGCGGTCTCACTGTATTCCCTCTCCCTGCTTCCTTCCTGCAGAAGCACACTTCCAAGGGGCCGGGGATACAGCTCAGCAGCACAAGCACCTGCCTGCAGAGCAACATCCTGAGTTCGAAGCCCAGTACCGAAAAAAAAAAAAAAGTACACTTCCACACCTGAGCGAGGGATGGTGATTTGAGGCAAATGAGGCCCATCTATCTCCTGAGAGCTGGGCTTAAATAAATACTATTTTCCTTTCCACCAAGTCTCTTGTGCTCCTGGGGCAGCAAATGATAGTGACTGAAAAACCAGTAGCAAGTTCCAAGGATGCACCACTGGCCTGGATCCCAGAATAAGTTCTGACTATTATATGGGTCCTTGGTGGCAAGTCAAGTTGGCACATAGCACCACCCATCACAAGGCCAGCCCTTGTCATCCTGGAACTCAAGTTTATTTCCTTTTGTCATTCTTAAGCCCCCAATTAGGACAGTAACATGGCCATAGTTCTAACTAGTATTATACAACTATCCTGCATTCCACTGACCAAACCACAGTAAGCCTTTTCCCAGAAGATGGAGTAAAGTTCCTGAACGATGTTTATTCTCTTCCTTAATATCCCAAAACTTGAACACTATGACACTGCATAGTATCAGGGAAAGAGAGTGAAGAAAATGAAAGTATTTACATATCTACATAACAAGTATATTCGTAAGAAAACGAGGACATACTCCTAACAGTTACAGCTCTCATTTCTGTGTATCGCATGCTTTTAAACCTTCCTTCTCTATCTGTTCTGTAGTCCTCTGCCTTTAGCAGTCACCTCGGCTGGCCATGGCTCTTTGCCTGGTGGAATGACCAGAATGTTCCTTCCTTAACTTAAGGATCTGGATCAGGAAAAGTCCTGTCTGAATTGAGTTATTGTAGCTCTCCGTTAAATCCTTAATCACATGGTGTAGAAATATTAGAAGACATCCTAAGGCGTCTCCTGTATTCTAGACACATTCTTCATCATCTCCACTGGGAAACAGCAATCTAACTTCCGCCTGGTGTTCAGGATCAAGCAACCACGGGTGCAGTTAAGTCCCTTCCTTGCCTGTTGAGTCAAAGGCATGAGGAATCTAAGCTAATTTCCAGTCCTGGTAGAAGCATTCTTGCTTTTGGAACTAAGACCTCTAGGCCAGAAGATGGTAAGACTGCAGCAACAACAGAAACGGAATCTCTAGGGATAATCATGAGTCCCACAACTCCTATTTTAATTCCTTGATTCTTGGAACCCTAAATCCTGATTATGGAAGAAAAAGCACCACATACCAGTCTCACTGGTTCAGAGTATCTACACCCTTCTGGAGAACTCTGATCCAGAACCGTGCTTGCAAACTGAGTCTTCAAGAACCCACTTCATTGAGGTTCTAACAAGCCAGCTGCTTCATGGCAGGGAAATGTTAAGCGCAATGCCGTGCTGCCTTGCTCTATTTCTTGTGAAGTGAGTTCCTTGGTCAGAATCATGCTGTGCTGAATATGATAATAGTGGGAAAGGCACTTTTTTAGAAGTCCACAGGGGGTAATTTTGCCAAAAGCACTGTGCACAAGGAAGGTAAATCTATATTCAGAGTAAGATTGATCCCAATTACATAACAGCATTTCCATTTGATTTTTTTATTAGTGCATGTTTGTAGTACATACTGTTTATATTACTTGTGGGGAACTGTACATGTACATAGTACATCCTAACTCCTTTTTACAATCCCCATTCCATTCTCTCCCACCCCACTCTATTCATCTCTTGATTTTCATCTTTTTTTGTACATGTCTGCAATACAGGTTTACATTTCCTGCGTGGATTTGGTACATATTGTATATAACACTTAATTCATTTTTTCCTCTTTTCCTTCCTCTCCCTCCTCCTTTTTCCCTTTTAGAAAGATCTACCTCCCTTTCCCCTATCATCTGTTTTTTATTGAGCTCTTTATACTTTGGGTTACTCCTATGAAAGAAACCATGTGATATTTAAGCTTGTGTCTGATTTATTTCATTTAATATTATGATCTCAAAGTACATCCATTTTCCTCATCTTTATCTTTCTTTATGGCAGATTAATAGTCCTTTGTGTTTAAGAACCATGTTTTATCTATTCATCTTTTGATGGACATATAGGCTGCTTCCAAGATTTAGCTATTATGCATTGCCTACACATATCAAGAGTTTTATTAGCCTTCCAGTAGGTTAAGTGTTTCTAGTTTAACATTTACTTCTTTGATCCATTTTGATTTTAGTTGAGTACATGGTGAGAGATATGGATCTAGATTCAATCTTCTACAAGTAACTAGTCTTCCCAATGTTGGTCTTTTAAAACAAGCTTTTTCTTCAGTGTGTTTTTTTGGCCCCTTTGTCAAAGATCAGGTAGTTCAGTGTTCTTCAGGTTGTTTGCATTTTCTAGTGTTCCACTGAATCTCAGGTCAACTTTTGTGACAGTACCATGCTGTTTCTATTACAATATCTTTGTAATATAACTTCAGGTCTAGGATGATGATATCTCCCCCTTTGCTCTTTTTTACTCAAGATTGCTTTTCCTATTCTGAGTTTCCCCTGGTTCCATATGACTTTTAGGATTGTTTTCTCCAGTTCTGTGAAGAATGCTGCTGGAATTTTTATTGAAATTGCATTAAATCTGTATACCATTATATTTTTTCTGCCTATTCAGGAACAGGGGTATCCTTCCATTTTTCTGATATTCTCTTCAATCTCTTGTTTTGAAGCACTGTGGTTTTCACTGTAGATGGATTTCACTTCCTTGGTTACGTTCTTTCCTAAGTATTTATTTTTTCTTGGTGGTGTTGTGATGGTATTTTTTTCTAATTTCTTTTTCAGTGGGTTCATTATTAGCGTAAAGAAAAGCTACTGGTTTTT